GAGCACTGCAAGTGGGGTAGCAAAAAGACTAAAAGATGAAGTAAGTTACGTTTCACTTAGTTTAAATTTTTCGTTTTCTGGATCCAAGTTGTGTACACAAATGTTAAATTGCTCTTTACTATCAATTCACATTACATGTTTATTTTTTTCTAATATAGGTTTCCAGTTTCATGATTTTGAAACACTGCATTGCCTATAAACTGGCTCTAGCTGTAGGTCAGACTGCCAATTCTGTACCGTACATTAAAAAGTTCAACGACTTGCTTGACAATTTATATAGATTTTACGAATATTCCCCTGTACGTTCAAGTGGATTAAAAGAAATACAGGCAAGACATGTTTTATTATTTCACTTAGAGGTCTACTGCAAGCTTATCAGCCATCCACTCTTGTTCTTCTGAACAAGAACAAGACACAAGCTGCTCACTTTTCCTGATAATATGCAAACAAAAATGTTTTGAATGAGCAAGTAGTCAAAATTGCTGAGGAAAATTATGTTTTGAACAGTGATACTATATTTGTATTAATAAACAAAAATTCATATATGCTGAATGCAGGGATGAGAATGAGAATTACAATTTTCAGCTGAGAGTAAAGTAGCCGGGGTCTGAGAACCGTAGTTGATCAAATTGTTACAATACAGACACTGCGCCTTTCCCGGGACCTCGCACTTGCCGATGAAGTCACTCAATTTTTGAGTTACCACTTCATCTTTCTTTCCGATTCGCACGGTCAAAGTCACTTCATTGTCATTGTTAATCGTTACATATTACTTTGAAAACTTTGAAACCACTTCAGATTTTACGATTGCACTGATAAAAAGAAACGCGAACATTCCGCATTGGAGACACCGCGAGTTGTCTCCCTTTGACCATACACTGATATAGGCCTCTTGCAGCGGACAACAATGACCTGACAGCGTGTTTACTTCTGGTGAATCAACAAGATTTGTATTCTTACCCTCCCTAAAATTTTCTCTCCAGATTTAGACATTTCAGAAAATCGATCCCTGGGTCTTAGAAATCTGCAGAATTCCGCGGATCCATGGAAAATTCTCATCATTGTGAATGTTTTTGTTTTTTCACAGGAAGCAATGACCAACCAAGTAGTAAAGCCAAAGCAGGTGAAAGCTGTTAGATGGCTTTCACATGAGTAGCAGCTTGTGAGACGCTCAGACATGTATCCAAGCATTATTATCAGTCTGCACAGAGAAGCCAGTGAAAGAAATGACTGCTCTGGCTAAGTTTCTAGAAGACTGGAAGTTTGTTGCCACTTTGCATATGATGTGTGACATCCTGCCACATATTGCTAACTTGTCAAGACAGTTCCAGGTAAGCCTAACAAGATCAGTGATACTAAACTATTTGAAATTTTGCCTGACTGCTCAGTGCCACCATCTTGATATTTTAAAATCAATTTATTTTATTGTCTTTTCTTAGAAATCTGCACTAGGCATAACTGGAGGAAAAGACCAAGTTGCAGAACCTAAGCTGTCTTAGATGCCAGATTGATGGTTCCTGGTTCACATTACAGATCAACATAACAGTATATTGAAGATTTGAATGGTGGTGGGCTGAATATAAAGATGTGCGAGGATGGTGATCTGGATAACTACAAGAAAAATGTAAGCATAATTTCAAGTCAACAAATGTTTACTTAATATCTAACTAGCACTGCATACATGATTTGTTCTTGAGAAATAGTAATCTTATTTATTTTTTGTTTACAGATACATGACAAGTTCATTAATTTGATAAGTGATAATATTTGCAACAGATTTCCTGATGTCGAACTTCTGGAAGCTTTCAGCATTTCCAACCCAGCTACAATGGCCTCAAGAACAGAGGTAAAATTGAAACATTAAGTATACCAGTATGACCATGGACGTACTAGAGATGGATGCTGCACGGTGTTTACTCGCTTTGATGTATGTGCGTGCCGCCACCAGATTACTGTTAATCCAGATCGTGTCTGCATAATTTCATGTCCACGGAAAACGATCACGAACACACCCGATTATAGCTCACAGTGTTCTCCCCAGACTTCATGCCAAGCACCACGGTCAATTTGCATAACAATATATCTAATTTGCGTAATAACAAGTTTTTCCCAACAAATATTGTCAATCTACAATTAATTAAAGACAAGATATTTTTATATCTGATAAATTTTATATCATTTTACTGCATTGTATTTTATGTTTTCGTATCAAGTCAAATAAAGTTTGAAAACAAATTGAAAGACTTGTGTTATAGCCGGTTAGTGATTATAATGTTATCCATGGATGTAACTAGTTCATCATTGTGTACAAGTTTTAGTGACCAGGTCACTGTCAGTTCATATAAACGTTGGGGAAAACATTTTTGGGTTAAATTTATAAAGCCGGCAAGATATCTAAATATGTTGAAATTAATAAATCAATAATTAGAAAATTTTTTTACAATGGCAGTTCGGCAGTAATAGTCGTCAATTTTTCATTGCAATATACCTTGTGAGTAACGCTACGATCACTATAACATTGTCAGCTGACGGCATTGCGTTGGACGGGTATTCACCGCTGCTATTGCGATCATCGGTATCTGACTTTTTTGTGTGAAATACACAAATTGTTTATTAAAGCGATTCATTGACGATTATCATAGGCAATACATCAAAATCGCCAACGAGATGTTTTTAAACATCGCGGAAAAACGTGCACTCTGCGCCGCCATCTTTGTTACCTCGATCGGAACCCCCATGTAACCCAGCATGCATCAGTCACAATGTTGCAACGTGCATTATATCGCCATAGGG